GGATTTTCTCAGGTGTGCTTCCACACATCCTCTGACACAGAACTAGGTTGAGCATACACCTGGAAGTCCAAACAGCATTAAATTGTATAATTATTTTAATTGTGTACAGTGCCCAACCCATGTTAATACTGCAGCCTGCTGTAGTGGCTGGCTTCATGAGTTTCCTGTCCTGCTAGCATGCAACCCTACACCCCTCTCTGCCTCCTAACTCCACTAGAGTGAATGTCAGTGTCCTGAAAGCTGAATTTTAGAGAGAACATGAACTCAGGACAACAAGGAAGTAGTTCTTGACCCTGGTAGGTTCCAGAAATAGATGCATAACAGCCTGCTTCCACAATGCATTCGGCATCTTCATTTCCAAGTACCTCTTGTAAGAAGGATCTGAAGATATTTAGAAGCTTGCAAGTACAAGCCACAAACCACACATGCAGATGGCAATACTCATGTCAGCCATCACTCATTTTTCTAAAGCTGTTTCCCTTGGAACACTCAGGTGCTTCAGAATTAGGGACTGAAGGTGAGCAAGGAGATAAACAGGAAGAAATAAAAGTCAAGCAAGGAAGACTTAATGCCCAGTGTAGTCAGAGAGCTTGGCAAGGCTGCAAAACATCAACTGGCCACCAATACCCCATGTTTGTGACAGCAGCAGTAAAATGGGATTTGTCTGTATCCAGCATTGTGTTCAGTGATGTTTCAGGATGGAGTGGCCAAGTGACACCAAGCCACACACTACTGTGTCCTGCTAGGTGAGACAGCAGTGCTCCCCCACCAGGAGGAAACTAGGACCTTCGGGCTTTATGCTCCCAAGCCTCTTTATTTCTGTAGGTGTTCCATCCCAAACACTCTTCCTCTTCCTGCACATTGTCTCCATCCCCCACACACACCCACGCACGTGGCTCTGGATCTCCTCATCATGTTCTTCTCGTTAAAAACCCCATTGTTCATTTGTTTGTTTGTTCTCTCTCTTTTTCTTTCTTTCTTTCTTTCTTTCTTTCTTTCTTTCTTTCTTTCTTTCTTTCTTTCTTTCTTTCTTTCTTTCTTTCTTTCTTTCTTTCTTTCTTTCTTTCTTTCTTTCTTTCTTTCTTTCTTTCTTTCTTTCTTTCTTTCTTTCTTTCTTTCTTTCTTTCTTTCTTTCTTTCTTTCTTTCTTTCTTTCTTTCTTTCTTTCTTTCTTTCTTTTCCTCCCTTCCTCTCTCTCTCTATCTCTCTCCTCTCTCTGTCTTTCTCTTTCTCTCTCTTTCTCTCCTCTCTTTTTTTCTCTTTCTCTTTCTTTCTCTTTCTCTCTCTCTTTCTCTCTCTCTCTCTCTCTCTCTCCTTCTCTCTCTCTTTCTTTCTCTTTCTTCTTTTTTTGTCTCCTCTGTTTTGTGTACCCAGGCAGCCCATTGAGTAACTTCTTTGACGTAATTAAACAACTTTTTTCAGACGAGAAGAACGGGCAGGTGAGCCATCCCCCCGGCACGCCAACCAAGCATAGCGCAAACAGCAAGCGGAGCGATTCCGGTTCTAATGACTATGGGTCTAGAGGAGAAAATAAGTACCCTGCTGGCAAAGACAAGGCAAAGATGGTCTCATCAGTCGGCCTACAAGACCAACCTTAAATAAACACATTAAAAATTAACTTAGAAAAAAAAACAAAAAAAAAAACACAAAAAAAGCAAGAAAGAATTAAAGAATCCTCCTTAGCAAGTTAGCCTCTAAACTAGAAGGATGTATATACCTTGCCACAACAGTACAAAAATGTCTATAGACAAATTTTGTATGAAGGAATGACTGTATATATATACATATATATATTTATATATGATATATAATATATATCTCAGAAACAAACACAAAAACAAACAAAGGAAAGAATGAAAATAAAAGAAAGAAAAGAAAAGGTAGCACAGTTGACAAACCCAGTTCACCAGATCTTGGGTTGTGTTTTTTTCAATTGTTTTTTTCCCTCCCTTTTTCAAATGCTTTGCTTTTTTTTCTCCTTTCTGATTTTTTGGGTTTTTTATTATTATTATTTTTTGTTTTCTTTTGTTTTGTTTCTTGTTCTGTTCATGCTCTCTCTGTGTTTCTGACAACACCACTTGTTTCCGCTCTGCTACCAGGAATTATCCCGAAAAGTTAACATGTCAGCCACGGCTTCACCTTCTGTGCTCTGCGGACACTTGTTGACGGAAGGCAACCGATGTAGACTGTCCAAGGACCAGTCCTGTTTGAGGTTCCCAGCCTCCCCTCTCCCTTCAGGAAGTGGGATTCTCCCCCACTTCTCCCTAAACACCTCCCTAATGCACGCCATATTTTTTTTCCCCCTCTCTTTTTCTTTTTTGGTGCTCCACAAGAGAGATCCGCTCAGTCATGGGATTGCAGAGTCTGGGCTGAAAGGAGGTTGCAGATTGTTGGAGTGAAACCTCAACCCTTGGCAACCTCTGTCCGTGCAGGTGAACTCAGCCCAGAAGGGGAGGGTGTGGGGAAGGAGAAGGGTGTAGCAGGAGCGCGGTGTTCCATGAATCCAGAGCACGTTCTCATCAGAAACCAGCCAGGAGCAACTCAAAAACTAAGCATTGAACCAAGACAATATTGGGGAGCTTCATCATGGGATTTTCTTAACCTTCTTTTTCTCCCTGCCACCTTTTCCTTTTCTTTTGCCGCCTTTTTTAAATATATATACATGTATATATGAGTGTATATTTCTCTATATATATACATACATACATACATATATATATATATATACACACAAAATAATTGTGGTTTTTGTTTTTGTACTGTATCATTTTGCTTTTTGACCTGCTGGAAGGGGAAAGGAATAAACTTAGGAGGGAGAGGGGGTTCAGTTAATAAACACATACAAACAAAACATTAAAACTTAGGGAAAAGGCAACTTCTGGTAGCAAAGAAGAGGGACAAGACTCTGCCAAGGACTGTCTTTCCCACCACCAGGCACAGTTGCTGCTGCTGCTACTGCTGCTCCTCCTTTGACATCTTCCTCCCCACTTCCCTGTCAACTCCCTGCCAATGTGCCACCATGCTGGGACCTTCTTCAACCAGCTGGATCCTCCACCACACCCTGCATTTAGAGGCAATTGTTGTGTTGCTAGTGCTGCATTGATATCAGTATTATTATTTATTTAAGTTACCAGTTTCATATGTTGGCTTGGATGATTTTTTTCTAAGGAAAAAAAAAAGGAAAAAAAAAAAGGAAAAAAAAAAAGAAGACTAAGCAGAGGAAGAAAAGAGACTTATCTTGGGTTTTATTTCCTGTGTGTGTGTGTGTGCAAATCACTGGCACTTAGTTCATCAGAGCAAGAAAAGGTGGAGTCAGGGCAATGGGAGACTTAATCACAAAGCTACTGTAAACTTTAAAAATTACTGCAAGATATTTTTATAAAATTTTTGTTTTGGTTTGGTTTGGTTTTGAAGGGGACAAGGGTGGGATTGGGTGGATGGGGACCTTATTTTTTGTGTGTGTTTCAGTTACCAGGTGTTGGTTATTTATATATATATATATTTAAAAAATAAGCTGTTAGATATATCTTCTGTTTAATAACTGTGTAGAGGCAACATTGATTCTTATTTATTTTGGGGAGGAGGGGGAAAAATGACACAGAAACCCTGTAGGTGTTCATCTTGTGACTTTGAGAAAGAATTGCTGCCTTTTTTCCTCCTCCTCACGAGTTATGTGACCAAGTGTAACTTATTCTGGCCCAAGTTCAAAGGTTAAACAAAACAAAACGTGGTTTTACCCGTGGAAGACAAAACCCAGTGAGGAGTACTTCTTGACTGAGATTTTAAGAATGTAGGCTTAGCATTAGTGTTCAGCTCTTTTATGACCTTCAATTGCTGCTCGTTGGGTTCCTATGGGTGTATGTTGTATCGCAAGGTTATTTTTTTTAAATGATAATGTTGGATGAGTTCTTTTCTGTTGTTGTTGTCGTCGTTGGGGTTTTTTTTTTCAAGCATTTTCCCCTTCTTGGACCAGTTTTACTTGTACATAGGTTTGAAGATTAAAAAAGAATTTTTAAAGACACAACTGGGGCAAAGACCTTTGACTTTTGCCTCATTTCCCCATTCCCCCAAATGGGAGGGATTTCTTGTATTTTATTGTTTTATTTATTTATTTATTTATTTTCCATGTTCTTAAACTTTTCTCTCTTGTATTGCTGTGTGCATGTCAGACACCAGGGGGTGATGGCTGGGGAGGGGGGTAGGCAAGGGTGCAGGAGAGGGGGGCAGTTTTAATTGCATGACATTGCTGTAAATTAGTCTCTTTTGCTTTTGTTGTCTTTCCTGCCTCCACCCTCTCTCTGCTTCTCCTCTGAGCTCCCCTCCCATCACCCCTGTCCTTCTTTTCCCTCTTTTCTCTTCCCTTGTGTATAGATTTTGATGCTTCTGTTACATTGTACCTCTACAAAAGGCTGGGATTTCAATACAAAATAATAATAATTTAAAAATACCTATATCAGCAAAACCCATCTGGTACAAGCAGGAAGGGGATTACTTACACAAGATATAAGAATAAATGAAAGCAATACCTCCTGTTATCCTTCCTATTTTGTACTTCGAAGACACACACGCGTGCACACACACATATACAGACACAAACTGACATTATTAAATGGTTTAAAATGGACAGAAAAATCTGATGTATCCCTTGTTAAATAACTGTGAGCAACTTTAGTTCAAAAACCAATAAATTCATTCAGTAAAGATACTAGCTGTTGAGTGTCCTGTTTATGTCCATGGAAAGGAACTACTTCTTGCCAGTGCCAGACCCAGTAAGCACCGTATCCCAGCTTTCTAAGCCAAAGGAGCTGAAGGTGGCCAGCACGTGAGGCAGTGTCTCCCTGGTCACGGAGCCAACACGTTCTGCTGGCAGCACTGGGGTCTGCAGCGCTGTGCCCAGCAGATGTGATGCCTGCAGACAAAGAGCAAGGGGAGCTCAACCCTGTAGGCCTGGTTTTCCACAGTAAGCATTGAAAAACATTCAAATAGCAGAGCAATCACCACACACACACACTCCCTAGATCTCACCTGGATGGAAATAACTATCGAAAGCTGTTGCTGCTTGTGATCCTTCTCACCTCTAACCTGAGCTTCTCGCGTTGCTTCCAGATTCAGCACAGGAAGAATTTCACCACTATCCCCACCTGCAACACGCTGAGTCACATTCACTGGCTTGCGTTTGGTTTGGAGGTGTTTTTGTCCATTGATTGCCTGCGGCCTGTCACACATCTCTCAGCTTTTGGGTGTTCACCTTGCTGCTGGATTTGTAACTTCTTCTATACAGCACAAGAGCCTGGCAATTCACCCCTTGGGCTCAAGAGTTTTTTGGCTGGTGCACGACCCGAGCCCTGCGTGGCTGGTGCCCTGCAGGGCCGGGGTCAGCGTGGCGGGCACAAGGCCGCGGCGGGTCTGCAGAGCCTGCCCAGCCCCGCGCTCCCAGCCACCCGCTGCAGCCTCCCCGCTCAGCCACACCATGGGAGGCCCCAGCAGAGCTGCCCCAACACCGGGGGCACC